TTCCCTCCTTCCTCCTTTTTCCTCTCCCCTTCCCCCTCCCTTCCCCTTCTCCCCCTCTCCCTCCCTTCTCCTCTCCCTCCTCCCCTTCCCTCCTCCTTCTCCTTCCCTTCCCTTCTCTTCCTCCCTCCTCCTCTTTCCTCTCCTCCCCCTCCCTTCTCTCCTTCCTTCCTCCATCTCCTTCCTCCTTCTCCCTCTTCCTTCTTCCTCTTCCCTCTCCCTCCTCCCCTCCCTCCTCCCAAAAGCTCTAGGTACCTCCACAGAGGATGCCCTCATGTCGCTCACAACTGGCATCATCACACTCGCACAGACGCCCAGAGCTCTGTCCACTGCAGCTGCAGCGTCCACATTGGCATCGACCCTTCCCGCTGCATAGGGGCCCTGTCCCATTTGGGGCGCGGCAGCCAGATTCCAAATCTGGGGAGGACAGGTCAGCCTCAGAGCATTCACACAGCTGACCAAGGCGGCCAGGGGCACAGCTGGGAGGGGAAAGCAGAGAGACGGGTCAGAGTTCAATCAACTCTGACCCATCTCTCAAGATATCCTAGGCCAGCAGTTTTCAACCTGTGGGTTGTGACCCTTTGGGAGTCAAATGGCCCTTTCACAGGAGTCCCCTAAAACTGTGGGACAACACAGATATTTATGTTACAATTCATAACAGTAGCAAAGTTACAGTTATGAAGTAGCAGTGAAAATAATTTTTATGGTTCGGGGTCACCATAACATGAGGAACTCTATTAAAGCGTTGCAGCGTTAGGAAGGTTGGAACCATTGCTGGAGACAGAGTAGCTGAAACAAGATACAAAAGTCTACCAAGGGTCAAGGAGGGGAGGGGGGACTCAGGTCAAGGCAAAGGCCTAGCATACATGGGAAGCTTTGGGGTATGACACTCAGGCAGAGACTCCAGGAGGGCAGAAAGCCGAGAAATGAAGGAGAAGGTCACTTGCCAGGAGCTACAGGAATACATAAAGCCCTCACCTGCATATTCCGCATTGAAGGTCGCCCTGTCCATCGCTGCAGTAGGGAGCTTGAGGCTGGGCATCACTACAATTACAGTCACACAGTGTGTGCAGCTCCACAGTTAACTCCTCTGAGAAGCCAAGGGCCCAGAGCCGTAGGACATGGGCTTCTGGGAGGCAGTGAGTGGCTTGAAGAGTAACCCAGAAATCCACCTGAAGACAGGAGGGCCAGACAACGCTGTACACGCCCTCATGTATGTACACACACACACACCACACACCCTCACGTACACACACCACACCCTCATGTACACACACACATACCACACACCCTCATGTACACACACACACCACACACCCTCATGTGTACACACACACCACACACCCT